TTAAGATGTAACGATTGTAAGACACATTAGTTTATGTGTCACTAACCAAAAAAAGTGTGCCTTAGAATGGATCAAATATAGTGTGGTAACTACTCTTAAAATATTTAATCCAGGGGCTCCTGGGTGGCTCAGTTGTTAAGCATCTGCCTTTGGCTCAGGTCATGATCCCAGGGTCCTGGGATCGAGCCCCGCATCGGGCTCCCTGTTCCGCGGGAAGCCTGCTTCTCCCTCTCCCACTCCCCCTGCTTGTGTTCCCTCTCTTGCTGTGTGTCTCTGTCAAATAAATAAAATCTTTAAAAAAACCAAAAAAAACCCCACAAAAGAAAACCCCCACATTTAATCCAAAATACCTTAGGAATTGGGATTTGAGATTCACTCACAAATATTTAAACTCAATATGTTTATTACTAAATTGTGGCTGGTGGGTAACATACCTATTCTGTGATAAACATTTATTTATGAAGGGGATTTTTGGGAGACTTGAAGTTTGATGAAACCTTTCATCTTTCAACTGTTAAATGTTAAACATTTGAAAGTCTTCATGTTCAACTGAAGCATGTATTAGCCTGGGCACTAACCCCTTCTGCAACCCACGCTCAGCTCTGCTATAATCATGCACCTTGCTCATTAATCCTCAGGGATGCCGTACTGTACAAAGAATAATAACCCATAGCCAAGCAGTTAAACCTGGCGGGAAGCTAAGAAATACCTATCTAATAGAAAGGTTCACTTGATTATAGCAACCTTTTAGCTGGAAAATGATGAAACATTAAAAAAAAAAGATATAATAGATACAGTTCCAGATATTATCCTTTGGTTGTTATCCTACCTGACGAGCCTAAGAGATAACAAGATGTGGCCAATTGGCTGACTTCTTACATCTTTGAGACATAGTTATAGTGGGTTTAAAAGATTTAGGTTTTCATAAGTAATTTATGAATTTCTGTGAGACTTTTCAAGATACCTCATGCAATATCTTGAGATAACATCATGTAATTCTAAATACCCATGATAACGGGAAAAAGGAATGACAGTGGCCTAGAACAGTGTCTGTCATTCAGCAGCCTCTCAAAAAGTATCTGGATTGAATGGAGGAAGAGTTTTAAAACTTTACGTTGAGTCTTTTGTCAAATAGACAGGCTGAGATTCAGTAGCTTTGGTCCTAACTGTGGCTCTATTACTCCTCTGTGACCCTGGGCAGTTCACGTAACCGGCTTGTATCTTCAGTTCGTCCTTGTTTAAGTGGCCTTAATAACCACGTGTGCTGGCTACTTGATAGGATCCCTACGGAGGGATGACAGAGTATATAATGCCCATGAAAGCCTCTGAAAAGTCAAAAAAACTAACTGCATATGAAAAGACATCACTAGTCACACACAATTGAACACGTGGGCTCATTTCTGTCCTGCAGCAGAATCAGAGGTCAAAGAGGTCAGAGTCCAGCTTTTTGGCCATAGTCTCTTCAAAATTTTCCCCATGTGGGGCGCCGAGGTGGCTCAGTCGTTTAGCGTCTGCCTTTGGCTCAGGTCATGATCCCAGGGTCCTGGGATCGAGTCCCGCATCGGGCTCCCCGCTCTGCAGGAAGCCTGCTTCTCCCTCTCCCACTCCCCTTGCTTGTGTTCCCTCTCTCGCTGTGTCTCTGTCAAATAAATAAATAAAATCTGAAAAAAAACCTCCAAAAAACAAAACAAAAAAAACCCCAAAAGATTTCTCATTCTTGAAATACTGTAACAAGGAGTCAGGAAAAAGGGTTCTTAGTGGGATCCATAGACCCCTGGGGAGTCCATAGATGGGCTTCAGGAGATCTGTGAACTTTTCAAAATTCCATGCACAACACTGTATTCTAGGGAAGAGGTTCATAGTTTTTTCAAAGTGTTCGGGAACTCCCCAAGAGTTAAAAAACACCGATTGAGTAGACTCAAGCAAGCGTTCTGAAGATAACAACGATTCAGGTATTTTTCTTTGTCTCCTCTTTAATGATTATTTACATGATTCTCTTTTTATTCCTCATTTTTCACTAGTGTGTATCAAAGCTACTGTGAAGGCAATCAGGGCCTCTTAGATTAGTTGGTGGAGAGCAAAGCAAACGAGAGTCATGAATAAAAAATAGAGTCACTAGTGTTGCTCTGATCACAGTATCTTCGGGAAAGAGAAAAGAAAAAGCAACAAATTCCCTTTTGTGGTTTTTTTAGGGACATAGGAAAATGGGGCTAGGTATGTTTTTATGTGTACACGTACATCTACAGAGGTGGACCTGAAGATAGGAAAAACTATCATCTCGAGAACTGAGAATGAAGTAAGAGTAGAAAGGCAACCTGTAAACAGTCTAGAAAATTCAAGTGCAAAAAGTAACTACTAACTCAGACAAATGTCTTTAGTTATCCACCGCTTTATGACCACTCCAACTGAACTAGTTTCCAGCTCGAGAACACAGTGGAGACTCAATTTTTAAAATATTATGTATAATAAAAATAACAAATCAGAGAGTCTCAACTGAGGATGAAGTAAATTGAATTCCAATCTCAGTAAATGTTAGGGAAAAAAAAAGCAACAATTATTTTGAAATACTTGTGTCATGACCAGAAATGAACTTTCAGGAAAAGGAAAAGGTTTTCTATGATATTTTAAAATACTAATGGGCTTGAACATTACTAATCTGTCCAGGAAAAAAAAAATATGCATAGCAGAACCAAAGTTATGCTAAATTAAATTATGTCCTGGTTTTATCCTGCTGAACTATACGAAGAGATGATTCGCCACGTATCTGGGGAAGTTAGCTGCTTTCTGCTCTAGTAAATTTGTGTTCTTTGCTTGGTGGGAACTACTGCAGCTTTTGCCAAAGGAACTCATGATCCGGCTGAATTGTGATGCACGACATAATAATTCAATAATTTAAGGGGAATGAAAACAAACCAAGATCCAGTTTTCTGACATTTCTGGATGAAATCTTTCCCTCAAGCCACAGGGAGATGATCCACAGATTGTCATGCTAGTACGGTTTTCGAAAATTCAAGTTCCAGTGACAAAAGAATAGAGATTTTGGAAAATGATTTTAGAATGCACTTGAAAATGTAAAGTTGATGACTGTTTTTAGTGACAGCTTTGAATGTAAATTTGAGACCCTTAAAATTAATATAAAACAAGCTATATTCTTTGCTTAAAAACAATCTATATAGTTTTAGATGTGCCAAAACAGGTTTAAAAAACTTGTCTCAGAAATTTTGAGGTCAGGGAAGCCTGGGTCGCTGAGTTAGTTGAGTGCCTGACTCTTGACTTTGGCTCAGGTCACGATCTCAGGGTCATGGGATGGAGCCCGGAGTCAGGCTCCGCACTCAGCGGGGAGTCTGCTTGAGATTCTCTCTCTCTCTCTCTCTCTCCCTCTGCCCCTGCCCTCCTGCACGCTCTCTCTTTCTAAAATAAATAAATCTTAAAAAAAAAAAATTTTAAGGTCAAACTACAAAAGAGAAATGAGAAAAGGAGCTCCTTGATAGCTTTCTGCTTAGATAACTACCCTGTAAATCTGAAATGAATTAAACACTTTTTGATTTGCTAATGTCCTAAAATGCACAAAGTACTATTAATGAAAGCTGCGTGCAACATCTTGGTTACTTTTACTGTAACTAATGAATAATGTTTGTTAAAACACAATGTGGAACATGAGAGAATTTAGTTTAATAGCAGGTTGCAATGTGGCTGGGATTATGGGAAAAGAATAGATAATGAACAGAAAGCTCTACCAGAATTACAGTAATATTTCAGTATGTACTAACATGCACATCACTTCTACAGATAATTAAGAAACCATTTAAAGAATGAACAGTCTTGGTGAATGGTTTTGGTTTACATCTCAGAAAATAAGAAATTAGCTTAGAAAAATCACAAAATAAGCAGCATTCACATGCCTCATTTCTGCTCTGAAGGGGCTTGTTCCAGAAGGACAGGTTAGGTGCAGCTAATGAAATTGTGTCCACTGTCGAGGGCTCCACGAAGCAAGTTTATTACTTTTCTTAATAGTGACATGTTGGAAAAATTGCCTTTTAAATAGTCATCTTTGCATCTCAAATCATTTCTTACTTCGTTTCTCTTCCTACGACAATGATCTACTTTCCTTATATAATGAGAAATGTCAAGGGATTCCCCAGATGGAGTTCTTGAGGCTTAAAGAGGAAACATAGGGAGCCGGTTTCAACAGCGGCATACTTGTCTATCCTTTAAAGAAACACTGTGGTGTACTTGTCTATGTGTTTAATGAAAAAAATAAAAGCTCTCCTGGTATCCAGAAATAACTACAATCACAACTAAGCACTGGGGCATTATGGGCTATTTCACATTTCAAACAGGCCTCACAGTTCAGGTCTGAGCCTGTTTCCAGAGACTACTGCCAAAGGCAAGGACTGGGGACATCAGAGCCAATTAAAAGGGCCCTGGGGAAATCCCTCCCCATTCTGTGAAGGTGAGTTTAAGGAACCCCGACCTAACCAGTGAATTCTCTGGAATCTGTGCTTTGATCCTGAAGTGAGGTCGCTGAATCTTATTCTAAAATGCCCAACGTTTTGAGGTTTTCAGTAAATCTGGTTATTCCTCTGATTTCTAGACCCCTTTTATGACAAAATTCTACCCTTTTTCTTTTGCTTGCTTTTTCTTAACACCCCTCTTTCTTCTCTATCTTCGCAATCCGTCTGCCAAGAAGAAGAGACATTTTAGCTACCTATTCAGACCAGCCGTGCAAAAGGCCACAGGATCACTTGATCTATACCGTCCTGGGATTTCAGGCAACTTTGTCGGTCACGTTTTGCTTCTGTATGGGTTTTTTTTTTTTTTTTTTAAAGAGCAGCCAAGTTTAATATTGTGAAATACGATGTGTCTCCGCCGTGCCCCACCCTCTAGAACAGTGATACATTTCCGCGCACGCTCAGCAGAATTGGATTGTATTATGCACAGGACACATGTCCATCACCAGAACCGTACTTGCTGGCATGGATGCAAGGAGAATGAACTGCTGAGACTTCAGAATCCCAGTTCCTCAGAACCGCTTTTATTAGCCAATGTATACCAAAGATGGGTGGTAAAAGAAGTATTATTTTTGCAGTTTTCCTTCATCGTTGACGCTCTCTGATGTTACAGAGTGTGGTTTTCCAGTCTTTCGATTAAGCCTTGCCCATCGTGTGCTGCTGCAACACGGAAGACACGGCTTTGCAACCTGTCACCTCCTCCGGCAGGCAGCCGTCCTGGTCTCGGAGAGCGGGGTCGGCGCCAGACTGCAGCAGCAGCTCCACGATGTCCAGAAACTCACAGGCAGCAGCTGACGGGGAAATGGGCAGATATGAAAACCAGGTTACCGTGAGACAAAGAGAAACGACTGTACTCCAGCAGGAAAGGCAAGGGCTGAGCAGGAAGGGATCCTGAACAATGAGAAATGTTGCAGCAGCTGGTGGGTGATCGGGCCTCGTGAGGAGATCTGGGCCATGAGAGTGCATTTTCAAGTGTTAGGAAAATCAAATTCACCTTTTTTGGTTGCCCAGAAGCAAACAAACAAACACATTTTTAAAACTGTGAGGTTTTTAGGGGCACCGGGGTGGCTCAGTCGGTTAAGCGTCTGCCTTCGGCTCAGGTCATGATCCCAGGGT